ACACAATTTGTGCGAATTGTTTGTGACTCAGTCGAAGCTCGTTAGGCTCTTTGGCCTCGACTTTTACTGCTTGTGAAAGTCAAGTGTTTGCAGAATATCTGCATGTGTTATTTCAATTCATATTTGAATGGGACGCCTCAGGAAATGTTTGCCAACGTTGTTCTGGAAAGAAGAAAAAGATTAAATGAATACATTTTGTGTTTGCAGTGGCATATTCTTTATGGTGGCAAGATGAGATCATTTGATGCTTAATGTAGCACAGCTAACGCTACAATATCAGCTAACTCAAATACCATGCCACTGATTAAACAGAAGGTAGAGCGTATTCAAATATCCAGTGTGCCGAGCGACAACTAGAAAAAAAATAGTTAGTCTCTGTAGTCTTGCAGACGACATACAGTACAATGTTGAGATGATTTTAGTCATCACATGTGAAAGAGAGGCTATAGATCCTTTTATGTGGATGGTTTTATGTGAACACACTTTGGGTATTACCAAGATTTCTCTTGGAGCAGGAAGGGTCACATTGAAGTGATTGGGTGATGTGTGTTTTGATTTCACTGGACTCTGCAGACACAACAAAATAATTTGGGCGGATACAGTTCATCTTTGTACTGAGGTAAAACTGCAGAGCTTAATAGATATGGACGTAATCATTACTGCTTGCAGTCGCATTGGATATGAGTCAACGTCAAAGAAGCGTGTGTTATTAAAGCAGTTGACATTTCCCCGGTCTGGAACATTTTTGTATGTAAGTAGTAAGTTATCTTTATTTATATAGCTCATTTCACAGACCAAGGTCCTTAAGTTTAAATTGGATGAACCTCAACATGAATACTTTGCTAGTACTGATACAAGTAATGCTTAGTAGTACTTATGGCGCTTCATATGGCATTATTTATTCTCTCCATACTCTCTGGTGGTAAACTGTGACTGTTGCTACAGTTGTCTCGTCAGAAGCGAGGCAACCAATCTGTTCATTCACCCCCACAGCAGGCTTGTATTAGGCAATGTGGGCACTGTAGAGTGCCAACTATCGCCTGGTCAGTACTGTGATGGGAGACCTATGGGAACACTAGGTGCCACATCGGGACGGATGCTGCTGTAAAGTGCAAACTCTCATTGTGTCCTTAAGACACTGCACCTACATCGCCAAGAATGAGTCTGGTGTGTATGTGAATGGCTTCTGGTGGTCATAGGGGTTCATGGTACAGATTTGTTGCCTCACTTCTGTCAGTCTACCCTAGGACAGCTGTGGCTACAGTAGTAGTTTTGTGTATGGACGGAAAGATGAATGTGAAAGATCTTTGTGTGTCCTAAAAAGTTCTCTATAAAGCTGATTATTAATTGTTATTGATATTATTATAGATATTGGACCATTTAGTGATGCAGGTCTGCGGATTTGTCACAAGGCACCCGCCACTTTCTTCCCCAAAGAGACTTTTTACTGAACTGAGCTTTTCGTCCATCTTCTTTCTCTGAGAGAGACCTGAGGTAAGATGCAGCGATGCCCCGCCCCCTTCTCACATAGCAGCGTCAGTGAAATGTTCAAATATAAGAACTTATCTGATCAGAGCAGAAGTGCACACCTGATCCTGACATGAAATTGACTGTAATGGAAAATATGGCTTTTTACAAATTAAAAGTAGATACATAATTGACATTATTTTGTATAATAAATGATATAGCATTCAAAACCAATTTAAAATGTAACATAGAATGTATTGAGTTTTTTTTTCAAATATCAAAACCAAGTTTGAAATCTTGATAACACTACTTTAAACTATGAATGACATGGCGTATAAGCGAGTAGCTCGTTTCGGACACCAAATGCTTCTGTCTTGTTTCAGGTTTACATTTTACATTAGGGGAAACTATGAAACATGGAAGTACTGGATCCATGCCTCAGTTTTCTTAGCCAATGCAGCTGTCCCTTGTGTAGTATTGGATTTCAGCCTCTTCCATCTTGTATTTAGACTTTGGACGTTTCGCTAGGTTGTTTTGACAAGGCTCCAAACGCAGTGTGTGTTTCAATAGCTCTCTTAGGCTTAGTGTTAAACTTTGGTCACTGAGAAAATTATTCCTCACCGCAGCTTGTCCGCAATCAAGTGAACATTGGGGATTGCACTAAGCAAAGTGATGATTTAAGGCGCAGGGTCGCAATGATGACTTTCCATGTGCACGGTTCACAACAAACTCCACTGCCATGTCCAGAACTGCGTGAGCTAAGCCAGATCTATCTATGTAAAATTACCTAGTGTAATAAGAGTACAATTGCATGCTAGTTACCCCTGACATGACGTGGTAAATATGAATAAACACACACAACTATGTATTGTACTAAAATACCCCCTTGATTTTGTTTAAACATGCAATCAGAAGAGACAAGCAAGCCAATGTCCACTTTCTGTGTGACCCTGAGAATGCACTCACTTTAGTGATGTCATGCTCTACAGTATAACTCTGTGGTATCAGCCCAAAGCCTGTGCAGATGGTGCTGACACAGAATCTTCTTGTCTACATCTCAAAACGTTCCGACTGGTGATTTTTGCCCCAGAGAACCTTTCAGTCTTTTGTTGGAGATCTACCTTTCATATTGCCTTCTCCTCTTTCTTTTCTCTATCAGTATTCATAATATTCAAATTTTGAGATGTTTTTTTTGGGGGTTTTTAAAAACCTTATAACTATTACAAACAAATATTAACATGATCACAAATAAAGGCTTAAAATGTCTCACTTCCCGTGCAACAAGTCTGTCAAGATTCACATTGTTGCATTACAGAAGTAGAAGGATTTTTAACATGAATTTTCCAAGTTTTACCTGTAGAACTTTATTTTTATCTTGAAAAACCAACTCATTTTTAACTGAACGCGAATAATTTTCAATCCTAGAATATGCACAAAGAATGCAGTGGTTTAGGCTGATTTTATGTTTTGATGTATTTTTCTTTTTCATCTTTTCAAACTATATCTTACTATCTTAGAGTAATGAGAGCTAGCAAACATATTAGCTCTCATTTTATATATGCAGATTGATAATTCAATTTGACACATGAAGCGGCTGATGCCAACTTTCACTGGACATTTTACTGGACCCTAGGAAAAAGAAAACGTAAGCCTTTAAGTCGCAAATGTGTATTAACAATAAACAAACAAACTATATACATACTGAAAAGACTAAAAAAAAAAAACACTTTTGACAATAAAATGCACTGAAAACACAGAAATTTCATAATTTAGTTGAAATACCTTTTGTATCGTTAAAAGTCCAACCCCGTGGATGGTGCAAGAACCGCTATAGAACAGATGAAATGGTCTACACATTTAATTTGAAGGTGCATTATATATTTAGTGACTTTTTACTATTCAATGCTGTATGTATAAGATTTGTCGTGCACAACAGAATATTAGGACCAATAGTTCAGACAAATTCCTGAAGTCAGAAGATAGAGGGAGTAAATGATGATCCCGCCAACTGTGTGATTTATATATGAATTGATCACTTGTGGCCTTTGCTGCATGACGGCTTATCACATACTTTGTTTTTAGCCGAGCACTTTGGCTATCAGTGTAGAAGTGCTTATCAAACATCCTGCCCATTTGTTTTAGGACTTCTCTCCCACTGGATTCCTGCTCTCTCTGGCCCTGCTCCATGCCTTCAGATTGCACTGCGGTTGGTGGTTGGGTTCACCGTCTTTGTGGAGATATGAGAGATGACATGTTCCTCCGGTGAAAGGAGATGTTGGGTGGAGCGTTTTATCCCTCACTGGGATTTAAACTCAATTTTTAATCAAACGCAGAAACTTTTGTGACGCTGTGGGAGAATACTGTACATGTTTTTATACCCAATGGGCTTTGGAGAGTAAGGTACAGGTGGAGCCACATATCTCAGAGTGATTTTTTAAACAAGACCTGATAACGCAATGTCTAAGGCCGAGTTTTTATCTCACGCAACAAAGTGATCCATCCACTCTTGGTTGATTGTCTCATTTGTATTGGGTTTGGATGAGTTTGGGTGGTGACGATTGGATTTCTAAACATCATTTCATCATCTACAGACTTTGAGGTTCTTAACATGAGCCTTGTTTCTTTATTTCATAATACATAAAGTTTGGACTTATCTGTACTTTCTGATCTATACATGAGGAATTGATTTCATTGTGGTTAGTGATGGTTTTGTTCTTTTGTATGTGCTACATTTTGTTTTTTGCCATGTTCTTTGTCAGTATGATACATTTCCACAAAAGTATAATGTTGATTACGTTTTTCAAAGGTGATGCCAAAGCAATGGTTCAAATAAATATCATATAAATGCTATCTGATTTACTTTACTGTTTCTTTAAAGGGGCTTCATGCAACTGCTTATGAGTGGTCAGCATGGTGCCTTTACCTAACCCTAACCCATGGTGGTATTTAGGATGGGCTAGGATCAATGGACTCTCTCACCAGAAAAAAAAACTACAAAACAACTGATCCCGGAGCACTGTAGACGCAACCGAAAAGTTAAGGCCCCATGCTGACCACTCAAACAGCCACTGCGTCACTACAAGGTCAAACATGCAACAATATTATTTTTCACATACGTTTGAAGTTCAATGCTCTTTTACGCTTGTTTAATACTTGTATCTACACTTTTGGCAAACACATGGTATGAAAACCACGACTCCCACTGATGACTGCTGTCCTTGGGCAAGACACTTAACCCCACTTTGCCTGAAGCCCCCACTGAAAGATCTCAGATCCTGTGGACTCACCACCTGCAGGAGGATCAGTGAGGGGTTGGTGCTCTGTGTACTGGGTGCAGCTCTGGCAACCCCCCCGTCCCAGAAATAGATTAAGGGGAAGAAAATGGATGGATGGATGGATGGTATGAAAACATAAATATGGTCTAGAAAAAAGGTTCTAGTCAATGCTTCAATAATATTTGTATTTATGACTCTAACTGTGGCATGTGATTTCCCTGCTAGTTTTCATGTTGTCATTTTTGTCTCATGAAGGATATGGCAACCTCGGAGCTGGGGGACTTGGCGGAGGGGGACTTGGTGCTGGTGCAGGAGGTGTGTGGTAATACAGGAAATTCCCATTTTTATAGATGTGGATGAAATTCATTTATAAACGTTGGACATATTCTCTGTAGGTGGTTATGGAGCATATGGAGGGAGCTACCAAGGGGCTGGGCAAAAAGCTCCTAAATTGGGTAAATAATATTAATTTCTCTCTTTAAACCAACCCTGAATTGGGTAAATAATATTAATTTCTCTCTTTAAACCAACCCTGACTTTATCTTAAATGTTAAAATGTGTGGCAGGAGCAGGAGCAGGCTTTTTACCAGGAGCAGGAGGAGGCTTTTTACCTCAAACAGGTATGTAACCGTTGACCCTTACCTCTCAAGATTTTGATTGACAAGAACATGATGGTTTCTTGGAACTGACTAACTGGTTTTTGTTTGACACAATTGAGCTAAATGTACATTTTAAGAAGACAGACAGGCCGTTTACGCATCCCTATGCATCACTGTGTTTCTATTTACTTCTAATTCCCGAAACAATATGCACACATGTATTTTATTGCAGTGCCACAGGTGCCTTCTGAGTTAAACTGACAGCTCATTTCCTGAATGAGGGTTACGGCGGGGTAAATGAGGCATTTGATGAGAACAGGCAGATGCCAAGTGTTCTGCTCCTGATTACATCATGTATTAACCTTGTTACTTCTGATCAAGACTTGATGACAGAGTAACAGAGAACTAGAGCTTCTGCAGGAGACTTCTTATGAGATGGTCAGGCTCATGAAGTGAGCAATAGCAGAACGCCCTCTACTGGCTTCATGTGTCATTGAATAGAGGTCCATGAGTCTTGTTTGTGATCTGTTATAGGGGCTGGAACTGGGCTCGGGCCTGGGGGTGCTGGAGGTAAATACCTTTAAAAGCATTGAGCAGTTTTTGAAGAGAATACTTTGCTGGTGTTATTGTAAACCAGAATTTACATTTGTTCTTAATTTCAGGATACATAAACCCACAAACAGGCCTTCCTGGTGGAGCGGCTGGTGGAGCAGGGAAAAAGGCTGCCAAAGTTCCAGGTTTAATTAAGCAAAACTAAATAAGTCACTTTAGAGACAAAATGCAGCTCTTTGTTCAGCATAGCCACAACAAATTCATGTTCTGTTCCATGAAGTATTTGAGGAAAATAAATAAAAATCAAACAAATCCATTTGGCGGGCTGCATGCTGTTGAACTTTGTGGAAAATATCTCATTTATTGAAACTGCTGTAATGTACTAAATGCTTGTGTCTGTATATGGCAGGTGTTGGCATTCCTGGACTCTACCAAGGAGGGTTAGTCCCTGGACAAGGTGCGTATTATTTTCCACTTGAAATGAAGTTTAAACATTTATTACATGTATTCATTAATATATCTTTGCCTTTAGGATTTGGCGGACGTGGAGTCCTTCCTGGTGTACCAACAGGGACGGGCATTAATCAAAAATCAGGTGAGAATCAACCCACTATTTTTGTGTTTGTTTGCATAGCTATCATACAACCGTGCTCTTTCACTCAGCCGCAGGGGGGCAGGCTGGAGTTGGACAAGGTTCGTATAAATTCTGTTTCTGTGTTAGGGTTAGGATCTCACACTGATAGTGTCTCTGTGACCTCTAATAGGCAGCCGTGGTGGTCAGACTGGATTGTTCCATGGATATCCCCTCAAATCACCCAAAGTGCCAGGTGAATCATGTTTTAATTATTATTTCACTAATAACTCTATTATTATAATTCATAGAAATAATAACAGAACCTTCTCAGATCAATCATCAATTTGGGATTTAAAAGGAGCATGATTTGAATAAGCCTACCTTCCCTTTTTCCCAGGAGCATATGGAGCAAAGCCTGGAGGAGGCAAACAACCCTTTGGTACAAATAGTTTTTTGTAATTACATATCAATTGTCAATTATACAAACTGTACATTTTTATCTTCAGCTTATGGGGGATTTGGAAATACTGGAGCAGGACTTCCGGGAGGAAAGAGTAGTTCTGGAGCAGTGCCTGGATATCCTGTTGGAACAGGTATCATATTTGCAAATTCACTTGTCAAAACAGTTTGAAGTTAAAATATGATTTATTCTTACAGGGGTCGGACAGGGCGGAGGAATTATACCAGAAGGTCAGGTTAAGCTTTGTTGAAACTATTTAAAATAATAATAATACCTGGCTCTTGCAATTGTAAGCTTGACAGGCTTGTTGAAGTCTCTCAATGCACTGCACTGAAGTATTTATTCTCTTCACTCTTTAGCCCCTCTGATCACCTCCATTCACTCACATGACATATTCAGTTATTACTGCGGCATGTTTTTGGTGATGAGGGAAACTGGAGCACTTGGAGGAAACCCACTCTGAAACTGGGAGAAACATGCAAAGTCCATGCAGAACTATACAGACCTCCTTACTGTGAGGCATGAAAGCTAACCACTCATGCTGGTTTGATTTTCTAATCTACCATATTTAAATAACAACTCTCAATTGGCATATGTTTTTTAGTTAAATTTAAATTACTGAAACAAGAAATAGCTAATTCTTATGGTCTCATTCTGTGGCACATAGCAGTTTGGTTAGTACTCTTAGCCCAAAGCAACCAAGAAGTCTTTAATCTTACAATAAAGCAGCTGGGCAGACATATAAAACTTTTTCAAACAATAAAATAATATATATAATAAAATACTTCACCTGCCTCATGATGTCACTGTGTATATTAGGTGGAGTTGTACCCGGAGGTGTCCCAGGTAGTGTTTCATCAGCTAAAGCGGCAAAATATGGTATGCCCTCCCATTACAACTTCAATTTCAGCCCTTTTTATTGAAATGTTGTTCTTGCCCAGGCTTAGGAGGAGGAGGTTATGTCGGGACAGGAACAGTCCCAGGAGGAGTCCCTGGTGGAGGGCAATATTCTGCTGCTGCCAAAGCTGCTAAATATGGTAAAACACGGACTATTTTCATATTAAGTTATGGTATTTTTGATTTGTTTGTTTTTATTAGGTGCAGGGGGTCAGTTAGCAGGAGGCGGATTGGGAGGAGGTGGTTTTGGAGTCCCAGGAGGGGTCCCAGGAGGGGTCCCAGGAGGAGTCCCAGGAGGGGTCCCGGCTGGTGGGCAATATTCTGCTGCTGCCAAAGCTGCTAAATATGGTTAAAAAAAGTTTCTGTTTTATATACATTTATTGCATTTTACTTGAACTTTAGTTTGTGTCAAACAGGTGCAGGGGGTCAGTTAGCAGGAGGAGGATTCGGAGCAGGTGGTTTTGGTGGGGTCCCTGGAGGAGTCCCAGGGGGAGTCCCGGCTGGTGGACAGTACTCTGCTGCTGCTAAAGCTGCTAAATATGGTGCATAGAGCTCATGTGTTCACGGTCTGGGGTCTTTGTGGTGTTTAACATACAATCCTGCTCTACAGGGATTGGACAGGTGGGAACAGGTGGACAGGGAGGAGGAGGGGTCCCAGGAGGAGTCCCAGGAGGGGTCCCAGGAGTGGTCCCAGGAGGGGTCTCAGCAGGGGTCCCAGGAAGAGTCCCTGGAGGGGTCTCAGGAGGGGTCCCAGGAGGAGTCCCGGCTGGTGGGCAATACTTTGCTGCTGCCAAAGCTGCTAAATATGGTAAAATATTGATATGATGTATATTTTGTTTTCTATGTATATTTGAACTTGTCTTGAATAGGTGCAGGGGGTCAGGTAGCAGGAGGCGGACTGGGAGCAGGTGGTTTTCGTGGAGTCCCAGGTGGAGTCCCAGGTGGAGTCCCAGGTGGAGTTCCAGGAAGGGTCCCTGCTGGTGGACAATACTCTGCTGCTGCTAAAGCTGCTAAATATGGTAAAAACAAAATGAATCTGTTGTATATACATTTATTGCAATTGAATTCAACTTTTGTTTGGTTGAACAGGTGCAGGGGGTCAGTTAGCAGGAGGCAGATTGGGAGGAGGAGGTTTTGGTGTGGTCCCTGGAGGAGTCCCAGGAGGAGTCCCTGCTGGTGGACAGTACTCTGCTGCTGCTAAAGCTGCTAAATATGGTAGATGTTTTCTTGCAACTTTATTTGACTTCAAAACTGACTTCAGGGTTCCCTCCACAGGAGCAGGCGGACAGTTGGGCACAGGGGCAGCAGGTGGAGGCTTCGCAGGAGCAGGAAGATTCCCTGGCGGAGGAGTTGGCGGAGGAGTTGGCGGAGGAGTTGGCGGAGGAGTTGGCGGTGGACAGTATTCTCCTTCTGCCAAAGCTGCTAAATATGGTCGGTATTAAAGTATTTCTAGAAGTGTGAGCAAACTAATTTTCTCTGGTGGTGGTCTGTAGGTGTTAGTCCTGGAGGCACTGGATTTTTTCCAGGGGGACAAGCTCCAGCGGGAAACCCTTTTGTAGCTGGATATGGATGTGAGTGTTCTTGTTTCATTAGACTTTTTTATTCGACACAACAGTATTAACTTTACACTTTACCTTCCACTGATCAGCCTTGGGGGCCAAACCACCAAAGTATGGTAAGATATTTTCTAAAACATAATCTATAATATTTGACTTTTACTCAATAATAAAGGATTAACTTATACATTTACTTGGGGCAGGTGGAGCTGGAGTTGGAGTCTCTGGGGGAGTTGGAGTCTCTGGGAGAGTTGGAGGAGCTGGACAAGTGTCCCCAGGCACTGGCTATGGAAGTAAAGTCAAAGAAATGCTGCTTGTAAAATAAATGAACTTATCCTATGCATATCCATCCAAACAAAGAGTGTTTTATTTCTAGATGTTGGTGCTGGAGTAGGAACAGGGGGGGTACCTTTTGGTGCTGGACCATATTCTGCTGCAGCGAAAGCTCTTAAATATGGTTTGTGAAAACATCTTAGAGAAACTCATGTTCAGAAAATATTAAAAATGTTTCCTGACTGTTTAAACAGGCGTTCCTGGAGGCACTGGGGTAGCATCAGGGGTGGCAGGAGTACCTAGTGGTTTTGGACAACAGCAAATTGCATCTGCGAAAGCGGCTAAATATGGTATGTCAATGTACATTTTCTATTGCACATTTATCACATTAAAGCTGTAGTACCTCACTTTGAAGACAAATATCAATGTGATGAAAATCCATGGAACTAGTTCCTCTCAAGACTGGTTCTATCATTAGTTTTTTACAGTCATGTTTGTGGCCTTGTGGTCGCATCTTCAGATCAGCTTTTCCAGCCCTCACTCTTCCAATCAATCAATCAATCAATCAATCAAATTTTATTTATAAAGCGCTTTTCATACAAAAAGTGTAACACAAAGTGCTTTACAGTTTAGTTAAAAACAATCCAACATGCCCAGCCCTAAACCCTCCTCCCCACAGACCCCCCAAAATCACATTTATAATTATATATACAATACACACACCCACACACACACACACACACACACACACACACACACACACACACACACACACACATATACACAAGTATAAAGTCATATCAGGTAAAATAGGTAAAACAATCAAAAGAAATGGGGCTGGGAGCAGATGTAACCGGCTGAAGAAGCGTCATCCAAGGAGCCATCTGCACCAGGAGCAGAGAGCCGGCTGCAGCCACAGGCAACGACACAGGACCCAGAGGAGAGAGGGGCCCCAGACCCCACCAGGCCCAGGACTCAGACCCCATAGGACCCAGAGGAGAGAGGAGGCCCCAGACCCCCACTGGATCCAAGAGCCAGTCCCCCGAAGCCACAGCAGACCCCAGCTCTCAGTGCAGAGGGCTCCTCCAGAGGAAACACTGGGGACACTAAAACAATACAATAATACAATAGAAAGTAGAACAATAGAATGTGAAAATAAAAAGAAAAATGGCAGCTGCCTAATATAATAACAATAGTAAATGGGTAGATACAATAAATAATTAAAAATAGTAAATAATAAAAATAAATAAAAATATAATCCGTCTAAAAACATAAATAGATGTACTAAAAAGCAATAATAGATAATAAATACTAATCAAAAGCTGCTCTAAAAAGGTGCGTCTTGAGCCTACTCTTAAAAATATGAACGTTCTCTGCGGCCCTGCGGCAATCAGCTCTCTGTACCTGAAAGATAACCTCTAATGAGATAAATACCCAGTGTGAAAGCGTCAACAGCTCAACAATTATGAGTGGTCAAAAAAATCTGTCTTTAGAGCAGATTCAAATAATCATGCTGCTTCTTTGCCAGGGGTGACAGGGGGCGCTGGGGCATCTGTACCTGGTGTTGTTCCAGGAGGTCCGGTAAACCAGTATTTGTAGCCAATATAAATGTTTTACATGTTTCTAACATTTGACTTAATTCCTTTACAGCTTATCCCGGTGGTGTGAAACCACCCAAACATGGTAATTCCTCATTTTAACAAAAGCTCCCATGTCCAGCTCTGGAGGATGCCTGAACTAAACTGTAAACTGTATGCAGGAGGTGTCACAGGCCTGGGACTCGCAGTCCCTGGAGCTACACAGGCGGGGCAGCTGCACGGCTCTGTGGTTCCAGGTGCCACAAGTCGCCCTGGTGGTCAGACAGGTAAAGCAAAGCACTTGAAATATAATCACAATAATAATCGTGTACTTAATTACATTTGGCTGTTTGCAGCAACTGAAGTGGGTCTTTCAGGAACACAACGCCCAGGTACGGTCAAAAATGATTTGTCATGTAATAACGCTGAGGTCCACACCTGGTGGTCTATAGAAGTATGCTGGCACTTGTTGAAAAGTGCTTTGTCATTATTCACATATTGATGACAGAGAGTTTAGCCTGAAGCTAAACTGTGGCTAGAGACCCCACTGTGTCTTCCTGCTCTGCTTCATCTGATGTCTTTTTACTGGATGTTTTGGCAGAATCTATTCCTGATGCCGTTAATGGCACAGATCCAGGTCTCCCACAGCCCAGCAGTAAGAGTCACTTTGTGCATGAAATCAGTGTGACCTTAAACCAAATGTCTGTTTGTTTGATTTTCAAACGTTAGCTCGAGGACACACAGTAAACACAGTATAACTCAGATTCACCATATTCACCATTACATAACTATAATTATTTCTTTGCTTGTGTTTCTCTTGGATAATTTCACTCAAGCTTTAAAGTCTGCTTGCATTGTGTCTGTCTCTGCTGTCTAATTATGTTCACATTTTGGTTCTATAGCATCACATGCATGAACTTGTTTTGTCATTTGCATTTTCAATTCTACTTCCAAAAGCCAATAATTGTCTTTATCTTTTTTTTTACTACATTGACATGGGATTATAAAAGCTGGAGGTAGGTTTACAGTCAATGAAATAGTTGAATGTTACATCAGATGGTAACCTAATAAAAAATATATCATTCTTAACAGCCGCCGGCGGGATTGTTCAGCCAAGTAGTAAGTGCTTTACTAATGGTTTTACTAGCTACACGCTGCTGCACGCCCTGACCACAATGTTTTCATTATTCCACAGCTGGTACAGGTGTTGGTGAGTGATAAAACATGTAACTACTGTAACCACATTTTACTGCTCATATTCAGTCAACTGTTACATATTTTTTTGTTTACAGGTGGAGCTGGTGTCCAGGCGCCCTCTCGTGGTGAGAAAATTCACTGAACTTTTATATTGATTTTATTATTCATATAATACCTTTTTAGCATTCTGAATGTTGTTCCTCATTAGGTGATACACCAGGCCACGGTCAGCCAGGTATGTTTTTCATAGTTGTAATTATAAGTATGTGCAGAAACATAACATATATTTTGTGTATTTTAAGACATTATGTAACACAACTCATTTATTTATTGTAGTGACTCCTGGTCAGCAGCCTGGAGGTATGCCCATCTTAGTTTGATTAGTCAAAAATCTCTCTTGCCACATGATGGCGACGTAAACAACTTTTCACTATTAATCCTCCCCATGTTTTCAGTGAACGTTGGGTCTGGGGCCAAAGCCCCGAAGCCGTTTGTTCCAGGTAAGAGAAAGGCAGATGCAGAAGAAATATATAAGATACTGTAAGCTATATGAAGGGTACCAACAGTTAAACTATCTCTACAGGTCTCCCTCAAGGCGGTGGGGGCTTCTACCCTTATGCTGGCCCATATGCAGGCACATAGTACTTTTATAATCAAAATGTTATTGTTCGTTTTGTTTCCCATTTATCTTAAAATGTTTGATTTAGGTCCTTATGGCAGTGGGACAGTGGGAGTGCAGCCAGGATTAAAGCCGTATAAACCACTTGGTGCGTGTATGCGTTGGTGTGTGTGTGTGTGTGTGTCTTCTCATGATCTGAGCTTCTTTGATTCATTCATTTCACGTTTCAGGAGCTGGTGGAGCTGGAATACCACTGACAGCTGGTGGTTATCAAGGTCAGCCATCTTTACAAACATTTACAGTACCACCTGTGTTCATGCAGTCCCATGCTGTGTCCGTATGTCCACTCTATTCACTAAATTAGGCACTACAATAGTTATACAAAATATCTGGACATACATACATTACACATGTGTAATTGTGTCATTTGTCTGTTGTATGTTCTTTCGTAGGAGGACAGGCAGGATTAGGTGTTGGAGCTAAGCCACCCAAACCAGGTAACATGATCCCACCTTGTTGTAAAATGTTGAAAAAGACCCAATTGCAATAACTCTCAACACATTTATTCAGGATTTAATCCTGGGGCAGCGGGGGCATATCCAGGAGGTAGTCTACATATTGTAACATCTATTTTACCATGGACTGGTTGAAACAGTGCTAAGATAAGATTGCATATATCTCGCACATAATGCTCTCTCTTTTTATCTGGCAGCTGTAGCTCCTGGTGGATATGGAGCGGGTTATCCTCAGACTTTTCCAGGTACCTCACATGGACATTGCGTCACTTTAGTTTAAATGCACTGCACAAAAATATCTTACAAACTACAATGCTAGATTAAATTCAGATTATGATTCTAGATTATCAAACTCACCCAAACTATTTTACTTGGTTAATAGACATGTCAAACAAGTCACAAATGTTAGCTTGAAATAAAACGAGACCTTTTAACATAAACCCCAGACTTTTAGGGTCTGTGGCCATTTAGTGACGCAGTCCAGTCCTTAAAGGGTACTCTGTGTCATTTTTACAATTGCTCCAAATGAAAAAGACATGTTAAGTTGCTGAATGGTCGGGCGCTCTCTCAGAGATAGATTGAGGAGTGATATGGGAGATGCTCTGAGTAGAGCTGCTGCTCCTCCACGCCTGGGATATGACCCAGCAGAAGTACGAACCTGGTCTGACCTAGAGCTGTTTGCACACCACTTTCCACCACAAATTTAACAATTTTAAATACAGAACGGTGACTGTAAATATAATGAAAGATCCTCCCTCGGCTGAGGAGACCTCAGGGAGGAATGAGGAGGATGAAAGTGAGCTTGGGAACGCCTCAAGATTCCCCTTGATTAGATGAAGGAAGTGTGTGTGAAAGGTCTGGATGTCCAGAAAAAGAAATGTTTCACTGTACTCAAGTAAATATACAAATAAAACAACCGCCAGTGGAAAATAAATAAAACAATTCTGAATATGAAATATTATATTATAAAATATTTTAGAAAGACATGTTTGTGGTGAAGTTAGAAATATCAAATATGAAGATACAAAACATTACTTTTCACCCTTGCTTAGGACGTGGATTAAAGCCCTGCGTGTTGCCAGGTAATGGCAAAAACATTAATGTATTAAGCTAAACTGCACTATCGCGGCAGCGTTGAGACATAAAGAGCAGGAGAGAAAACGTTCCACAAACAGTGAAACATAAAAATACATTTGATCGCATGAACCATCCTCTCCTTCTCATTATGTTTGACACAATCCTGCTTTTTCTATTTCAACGCTGAAACACTGTGCATCAAGGTAATCAATGATTGGTTTCTTATTCTATGTATTATTATTTATTTGTAAATCTGGGCATTTGTACCATGTGTGAGGGTTCCTTCTGCTTCAGCCTTTTGCTGCTTTGAATGCTAACCACACCATTGGACACCATGTCATTTTTATAGTATTTACCCTGTGTGTGTGCGTGTGTGTATGTGTGTGTGCATGTGTGTATGTGTGTGTGCATGTGTGTGTGTGTGTATTTGTGTGTGTGAAGGTCAAGGTCAAGGCGGATATGTACCTGCTCCACTGACTCCTCAGCAAGGTACCGAACACACATTTTCTATTCTTAACAACTGTGACGTTTGAGAGATGGCTTAGAATCAGCATTCATCTGTTTTCCTATTTGAATTTACTTTAATGCTTTAAGAATGAGCTAATTCAAAGAAAGCATTTATCTTTCACTTCTTTAATGGATAAAAAAAAGTTTAAATTAATCTTCTAATTTTCCAGCCAAAGCCGCAAAGTACGGTGCTCTTCAGGGATTTCTTGGGGGTGGAGGAGGAGGAGGAGGAGGAGGAGTTTACAGAGGTATACTTAATTACAGCATCATTACAACTTAAATATTAGTTGTATATAAGTAAATATTTTACTAACCTGTCCTGCAGCTCCCGTCGCAGGATGTCAGGGAAAATTCTGTGGGAGGAGGAAGTAGAGGATCTCCAGAGATTCAGCGTGACCTCAACATCATGGTGCTACTGCATGATTGAGAATGTAATTTTTTTTTAAATAAAAAACCTGCCCATGTTGAAAATGTAGAGATAATTTGAATTGACTTGTTCAAACCCACCGACTTAGAATTTTGTTTGCGGACTTCAGTGTTTAGCTATTGCCCTTGCTCACTTACTGCCCTGTTGCCCTGTTGCTTATTTATGCGTGAGTGGGAGGGATCTGTCCTGGTTCTTGAGGTATTTGGTGCTTCTTCTTCTCAGTTTATTATGGTCAACATGTCATACAGTTCATCTGGGACTCAGACCTCCTGCCTCTGCAGCGTTGGAGCCCTCCACACGGTTTTGCCGATCATTGAGTTTGAGCCAGATGTATTCATATCTTGTGCTGTATCAAGAGCCTTGTAGCTGATTCTCACTGCTCTTTTGTTGGCTACACTGTGTATGTATGGAAGCTTTGAAACACTATTTGCAGAAATCCTTTACCTTCTTATAACTAACTTTGTGCTATTTCAGTTTCTGGATCGAGCATTGACTCATAGAGTTATAGTTATCAGGAATATGTGAATATAAACATGTGTTTTAACATACTTATGAAATCTTATTCAAAATTGGCGAGCCTTACATTATCGCCATGTTTAAAAGGCACATGCTCATTATGTTTTAAATGTACTGTATTTTGTACTTGTTTGATGTTCGCTGGCTTCAGTTTATGACTGGAAGAGTCAAACTGTGTCTTGTGTGCCTTGGAAATACTTTTCATCTTTATTTAAAACTGTTTTATAAGGAGGAACAGTGTGTTTTGCACTTTTTTCGACCATGACACACCAGATTGATAGTAATTGTATTTGCTTCAGTGATATAAAATAAAACTGTTTAATATAATGTACAATTGTGTTATTTGTTATTTTGTGCCTTTAATTGGAACTACAATCAGCAGTTTTGTATTTTCTTTCAGATTTAGCTTGTTATGATATAATTTCAGAGCGTAGTGTCAAATGACAAAATAACACTAGAGCACTACTCACAGGACCTCCAGCATCTAAATTACATTTCCTGTTTTGACATTGGATAGTTCTTTAGTTTGGATAGTGTACTCAGAAGGCCAAATACTGTATACTGATGGTATGGCACTCATGAGTTGTGAAATTATGTATGTGCCAATATTATTATTATTTATTTAACATTTAAAATGTTTAAGTTTAAGTTTATTAAGGAAAGCCCCTTGAGATGAATCATCTCATTTTCGAAATGTCGAACCCAAACTTTAAGTACGAGAAGGATTTCAATATTATTTTGATTCTTTTTAACTAATTCAGTAAAGTTGCTCAAACTGGTGCCTCTTTGGTGCTGTGAGAGAAGTTTGCGGCTCTGCAATGCAGCTCTTGGTCCCGCCCCCTGATGGGACGGCCGTCACTGATTGGCCAGCTCCTCTTTCATCGGTCAGCGGCATCTTGAATCAGCGCTGCCGCAGAAACGGGCGTCCGCAGCAGGAGCCGTGCGGATGTATGCGGGTGAATGCACCAGCCGCCCACAGCGAGGCTGCGGACACGGACACAGAGACACAGACACGGAGACACGGACACAGACAGACGCCACGGGCCGTGTGCGTGAATGAGGTTGATGCTGCTGTGCTGCACCTGGAAGGACGAGCGCATGGGAGAGGAGGACGGTAAGCTCAGGGCGGGTTCAGCATCTTCTCTGTACGTCTTTGACCGTTTACCGTGCACCGTGCACCCTCCCGGTGATATCCCGGTGACAGCGCATCATAACAGCGGCTCATACTTTGCAGCGCATCGTTGTTTCTACGCAGAAACGCGTGACTTGAAACTCATTTGGAAACGCGTTTTCAGAACTCATGACTGCTGCCAACTGTCGGCCTGCACATCTGTGTCAGCTGAAGGAGGAGTGCTGTCTTGAGTGCCCCATCTGGGAATTCCATATTATATACAATGATTGGGCTCATTCAATATTTGATACAATGAAGCATCTATTACATATATTTATGTATACATATATATATAAATATACATCCATATATTATATATATATTTCTAACAAACTACCGATGTGAAAACAGCTGCTTACAGTATAGGCAAAGTATATTTTATTCAACTTAATTTTTATTATTATTATTCCAATATTATCTAAATATTCATTTAGCTTCTCTCATCAGATATTGTGTTTATAAGTGTTTGCAAACTTTGTGGTTCGACTCTCAGCTTGTGAAAAAAATACATTGAAACAGTATGAACTGATTGTCATGTTGTAACAAAACTCTCAAGGCCAAGGTCAATGTAATAACATTTTCTCTCAGAACTTCTCAATGATGGTGAAAGTAAATGTGGCCAGTCGGCCCATGACAATAACACATTTACATGTGTTTTGTTCAGTGTGGACCTGATAAAGGGTGATTTGCATGTGAAGCGTCATGGGCAAAACATCTGCAGTTATCACCACACGCAGCATCACTATTGTGTTTGTGACATATGTTCGACCTGCTCTCTAACCTGTGCTTCTGTGCAGCTGGGGGAAGCCTGCCGGTGTGTGCGGGATGTAAAGAGAGCATCTATGATGAGCAGTATCTCCAGGCCCTCAGCACTGACTGGCACACCACCTGCTTCAGGTAGGACCATAGACTGTAAATATTAACGGACGTAGTCACGCCTATCTCCGCCGTTCTAACTAATGTGTCACACTTTCGCGGCCAATGGGAAGTTTAAAAATGGCCGCGGTGGCTGGAAAATGTAAAAAAAAAATCTGCGCATGCGTCAGCTGCACGAGCCCCATTCATTTAATGAGTGCCTTGAAAAAAATCACAGCAACTAAACTAGAGTGGTCCAAAAAAAATGCACTCCCCTCAGCATTGACACACATGTGGAACAGAGCTTTGGGCCAAGAGCCAACTTTTGGACCATCCTGTAAAGACGTTTTTGAGAGGTCAGCTAATGCTATAAGTTAGCATTGGCTAATTCTTGTTCCGGGTCCACCCCCATCGGCCCGGGGTGGTATTGCAAGCATGTCAGCGCACGTCATTTTGTGCCGGGACCCGCCCCCACTGGGTAGGCCCCATCCAGACCAGAGCTAATCAAATGTTTTCTCTGGAAGGCAGATGGCCGTCAGTCTGTGGGTCAGCCCACTGAAGCACTATTTCAAGTTGAATGTAGAATAGACAAACACCAGCGTATTATTATCGCACATCAGGATAGTGTATATACTATACACTGTTATATATACTGTATATTTTAAACATAAATACAGAGCAAACATAGAGGTAACAACAAGAGCCTTCATGTTCAATAAGTGCATCTGGCTTTGACTAGAACAGTTTTGGCCCTTAAGCACAAAATCAATAGTACTACCAACATTCAGGTACAACAACTGGCTCTTTGTCTAAGAAAAAGCAACTATCCATGAAAGCAGCCAGTAACTGAATACATAACCTGCTCTTACACTCCTGGTCAGATATTAACTTCACCTCCTCATCTGCAGCAGCTGCATTCTTTCACCTGTAGCAACAACAACCAACAGAGATGCTGCTCTGCTGCACTGGAAAACCTCGTGGTACTAGTCCGCTCATAGCTTTGAATTAGAGTATTTATCTTCTGTACATCTGATCTAACTCCAAACAGCTACATGTGAAGTACCTCACCTTATATTCTTGGATTACACAGCAGACGTCTCACAGAGGCATACGGATATATAATAATAAATATAAAAGGAACTCTCCTTTTATATTATCAATGTGTGCAAAGTCTGTTCTTATAATTTTCTGGTCACTTTTCATTTTCCCCCCATGAAGAATCTCATTTTCTGAATGTTTACTTCTGCATAAACAGCATTTGTGTTGCAAAAGCAAGGTGCAATTTCACAACAGATGTTCAACCTCTCTTACAACAATTAGGATTAAGAAAATATTTATGTACATTCATTTAGCAGAGATAATCCAGAATTGGTCCTAAAATCTAAACATATCATTATTACCTAAACTTAATATCGCGGAAGACTTCATGATACCCTCCCCAGAGGATTACAGCATCAATTAAAGTCAGTAAATATTAGTGGCCTTGTAATAAATGTGATAATCGTGTCAGTCCAGTGTGGATGGGTCAGAGTTGTGAGCGAGTTGAGTGACACGTGAACACAGGAGCCTCACCACACAGTGTGTGTCATTAATAGTTTCCCTTGGCCGGATGTTTGACAGAGACATCTGAGCAGGAGATCTGGGCTCCACACTGCTTTGAGTTTGTGGTGTGTGTTTCTGTGGTGTTTGTGCCATCAGTAAATGTTCTCTGTGGGAGCTATCGATTTAATGTCTTGCTAGAATTTACAGTTGGTCCATATTGTCATCATCTCATGTTGTGTGTTATTTTGTCTGTGTTTTAGACAAAACTGAGTTGGTTTGGTTTCGGGCTTGACCTGATTCCACAAACCACTGTTGATGATGGTTGTGGCTCAGTATCTATAAGAAGAAGAACAAGATAAGATAACATTTGTGATGTGTGAAGTCATTTATTTTAGAGTCTTGTGTTTGCATACAGATTTCTGAGAATTTTCTTTGTAGAAAAAAAATGGAGCCTCATGTGGTTTGACCCAGTTTTAAATCTCCAAGGAAGTGGGATTGTCATGGAATAGCAGGATTTCTGACGGTTTACCACTCTGACAAGAGCTGTGTGGAAATGTGTCTGGTGACAGTGGGGAGCGGGGCTTACATTCAAACAAACACCGGAGATGGTGCAGCTGCATCGCTCCACTGAAAATCAGGGGAATGTACATTTAGACTGGAAACGCTACAGTTGGATTTATACGCGGGTTGTCTGGGGTCTAAAGTCTGTTTGTTCAATAGTATTTACAATATTCTTATCATTTGTTATATTGAGGTTTTAGATTTCTTGAACATGATTCATGATATTTAAAAAAGCCAATAGTAGTCCATTAACCATGGCCCTGTGATATAAATGTAGTGGTTCTCAAAGTTGGAAAGTGG